ACCCAGCATGGCACGGCAAAATTTCTTATGCAACAATACTGAGTCACGGCTGGTTACGACAAAAGCTCAGATTAGCATGCAAGAGATTTCTTGTTTGTTGCTTTGATGGCAGGTGTTAAGTAAAATTTGCAATTAACCAGTGGCATGATGCAAAGCCAAGCATTACAGTGACAAACGGCACAAGCGCAGCATGTGAGGGCACCGACATGTCGGCTGCAAACGCTGACATGCTGTTACTTACTCCACTGGAGAGAGTCACATCTCCATTGGCTTGGTTGGATGAATACAGATTGACGTATTCACCCTCCCCACCTTCATCATTAGCACTTTCGCTCTACAGGAAAACAAGAGGGAGGACAGCACAAGCATTGACAGGCATCAGAGTAAAGGTGTGGTTCGGAGTTGATGCCCACAAAGATGAAGACTTAAACTTGGCAGAAGGAATCTATTGCTCTGGTGGGCCTGAAATCAAAGGACATTTGGTAGCAAAGCAAGATATAGCACAACCCGCCTCTGGAAACTTGGCACGACGTTGTGCATTAAGAGTGATTTTACTACATGAAGCTGAATTGCGTTAAAGTTAACTGCTTAAAACACTCTTAATTGTGGTAAAATCAATGTAATGCAAGGCTTCAGGTGACTCCCTGCTCAACTGCAGCAGAAGAAATACAATAAAGGACATCAAATGTTCAATACATGATTACATTTATTCATAACTATCACAATAAACAATTCCTTCGCCAAATAAGATCATTAACAGTCTCTAAACTGGAAGCAAGCATCATTTATCATATAATAAAACTTTATTGCTCCCATTCTAATCAACAGCAGTCTACATTACAAGTGTATTGACGTCAGACTCTTGAGCAGACAGCTTCATTGATTACAATGTGAGCAGTCGCAATACGCCTTGTGCTTCCAGTGCAGACGAATGTAATAGGAAGTAACTATTTTCTCTGCCAATTTAAAGTAGATTACAATGGGTTTTTATTACATTTAATTCAGTCCAAGTCCGTTTAATTCTATTTGATTATTGTGGTATGACTGGATGATTTTTTATTTTGTTTTGATATGGTGAATTTTTATGAAGGGAAAAACAATTAAACAAAAGCTAAAACATATCTTTTTACTTCAGCTTTTAACTAGCAATGACTTCTCTGAAGCATTGCATTATGCTTTCTTTTAGTATTACTTATTTTTAATTGACATATCTTGTTATGCATTTTATGCAGGCTAATTTCATCTTCTTTTATTATTATGGGTTTAATCTTTGCATCTATGGTGGGTTTCATCTTTAATCTTACTGTATGTCATATTAATTATGAGATTTTTATCTGTTTTTAACATAACGTAGATCACATTTTTTGTAAGGCACTTTGAGCTGCAATACTCGCATGAAATTAACTTTTCTTAGTTTATTTTATCTCAAATAATTGCATTTTGTGTATTGAATGAAAATGTATTGGGTATGACTATTCCAGCTGTGATATTATTTATTATATTATCAGATTATAATAAAAAAATAATACAAATAAGTTAAAAAGTTAATAATACATTAATAATAATAATAATCTATAATAAAAATATATCACCATCATTAAATAAATATAGACATTAAATCCCAAAGCTGATCCACTGAATTACTGCCACTCCATATACAGTGCCGTGAAAAGGTTTTTGCCCCCATTCCTGTTTTTTTAATTTTTTGCATATTTGTCACACATAAAAGATTCAGATCATCAAACCAATTTTAATATTACGCAAAGATAATGCAAGTAAATACAAAATGCAGTTTGTAAATGATAATTTCATTTATTAAGGGAAAAAAGCTGTCCAAACCTACCTGGCCCTACGTGAAAAATTATTTGCCCCTCCTCTTAAATCATGGTATATATATATATATATATATAATATAAAGAAATGGGACACAAAGTACCAGCAACTAACCCTGAGACAGATTACCTATATTTAGTAGTCGCTTTCCCAGTAAGAGGTATCGAAAAGAGTTCCCTGTGATTCAGTAGACTTAGTCAGAGGATACAGCTCAGCAGACATAACATCATAACAGGCAGCTCAGTCACCTAACAGCGGGGAGCCCGACGAGTCCCTGCGGGATGATGCATGTTTAACCTGAGCTTTTCAGCAGGTCACAGTTGCAGGACCCCTGTGTGGTACATGCTTTTGACTCTTTAAATCTTTAGATCTCCGCCACTAAAGACTAGAGGCGTGTGCGGGAAAAAAAAAATCACTGAACCCTAACGAGGCAGTGCCACCGTTAATTGAGGTTGTGAACTATTCGTTGCCTACAGGCTACAGCACCTGTGATTCATGTGAGCTATTATGAACATGTTTCCTCTTGCAGCCGCTGGCACACACACCTACACAGAGTCAATAATTAGACAATCAGCAGTGTTTGCATGTTTGTGCTACTTCTCAGCATGTGAAGACGAATTGAAAAACTACAGAATCATAACTGCGATGTTTGAAATGCTGCACCATAGTATTAAAGGAATGAAAATTTTATAAAAGATGTAGATGGAGTTGTTTCTGCATTGGAACAGATTTGGAGAAACATAGCATTCCATCACTTGCTCCTCTGCAGTGAATGGGTGCCGTCAGAACGAGAGCGCAAACAGCTGATAAAAACATTACAACAATACACACGACTCCAGTCCACCGATAAAGCACCGTTTAAAATCTGAAACAGCCCAAACAAATATGATGGTGGATTTTGATGTGATAGGACAACAGGGGATGGACTTTTTCACTGGAGAAAGCTTGTCACTTCACAACATGTAAATTGATGGACTGTAGTAGTGTGGATTACTTATGGATTATTGTAGTGTTTTTATGAGCTGTTTGGACTCTCATTCTGACGGCACCCATTCACACCAACATATTTGTTTGGGCTGTTTCAGCTTTTAAACGGTGCTTTATCAGTGTACTGGAGTCATGTGTATTGCTGTGATTTTTATAAGCTGTTTGGGCTCTCATTCTGACGGCACCCATTCACTGCAGAGGAGGTGATGTAATGCTAAATTTCTCCAAATCTGTTCTGATGAAGAAACAAACCCATCTAAATCATGGATGGCCTGAAGGTTAAAAAAAAATTCTGAATATTTTCTTTTTTGGGTGAACTATTCCTCTAAACCTCTACAATAGGCAAGCACTGCTGTTAAATTAGGCTTTAAAGAAGATATTAAGATATTAATTCATTAGTCCAAAAAGACAAGAAAAATGCATTAGAGGCCAGCGAAAGGCAAGTGGGACTCACCGTAGGGACAGGCAGGGAGCCCTGGCGGTTCAGAGAGGAGTTAGATGCGGAAAGGGTGAGAGCGGTTTCTGTCTCACCAGGGCCAGGCCCAGACGCACACTGCTGCAGCTGACATGACAGAGAGGAGGAAGAGGAGGAGGAAGGAGACGCAGAGTGTGAGGAAGCCTAGGAGGGAAGAGAAGAGCAGAGGAAGGAAGAGAAAAAAGGCCATAGATTCATGCACAGTGTAGATTATCGAGCAGATGTGAGCTGGATGGAGAAATAGACCTTAGTCAGAGTAGACGGCATATTAAATGTGACGCAAATGAAACATTTTTAATCATGGTTTGTGAAAATTAGACGTGACCTAAGACCTTAAAAGCCCTATTTGGATGCTATTTTTAATCACATCCAGTTAAATATGACGTCTATTCGGACTGAAGTTTACTGTGCAGCAGGAAAGAACAACGTTAAGTGAATGAATTGTGTAAAATATTGGGAGACAAAGGTTTCTATTTTTTGCCTGGTAACTGCTTGTGCTTGCTAGTCAGAGCGTGGGAACAAAAACAGGAAATCACTAAAACTAAAAGCCCAAACAAATGGCTAAACTTGTGGGTAATATAGCTACTAGCACATAAGGTTACTTTATACCTGAGCTTAAAACTAAGCAACACACCTCAGTGAATCCTTCTGCTCAGTCACGTGGAATGGGAGAGAAAACAGTGGAAACTACGTCAAATTAAATGAGGTAGATGGGTTTGCAAGACAAGAATGAGGACAAAAGCAAGAACAGTGCAAAGCATTGAAACCATAGATATGTATAAACGCCTTATTCGACCGCTCCAGATACGTTGATGTGTCCGCCATCTTGGAAAGGTCAACTTGACGTCATTCACCATAACAATCAATGAATATTCAAAGATATACAAGCGTATAACTTGCTGTTGTAGACGCACACAGTCAACGCACTCAAAGGTTCGCAGACCGTTCCAAAAACGGCAGATGGCTTACGTATCGCGGCCCATAGAAACATTCGCAAATGAGGCACCTATGTATTAGGGATGGGCGATATCTTATCGTTTGCGATATACCGGTAAAAATTCTCCCCACGATAAGAATTAGTCTTCCTGCGATAATAACGATAAAGTCTAGTTGTTGACATATTTCTGTGTGCGACAGTGCGGAGCGACATCACGGTAAGCGGACGTGAAATTGAGGAGGAGTAGCCTATATCGCTAAATGAGGAGCTCGAGCTCCTTTTACAATCTGTAACTGGTTTGGTTAGGGCTGTACAGTGCATAAAAAATCGGTCTGAATAAATGTAGTAGCATGTGTGCGATACAGTTTTGCATGCGTATGAGCCTGTTTACAAACCTGTTGTCCAACAAAGATATAATTTATTGGCATGCTTTTTCTCCAAATTAGCTTAATAAAATAGTCGAGTGTTTGAAATACTTCTTTTTGTGACCAGACGTGGTTTCATATTACAGAATGATAGTATTATATACAGTGATAAAGGCCATGTCGATTAACATTGCATTATAAATATACTTTAGTTATAAAAATACCCAAGATTGAAGAACACAGATAAACCATATATTTTGTGCAATCGTAAACAGTCTTTACATTACGTGTGTACTCATTAATGCTCACCCTATTTTGGGTAAAAATAGGAAAGATAATACTTTTCTCAAAAGAAACAGGATTCCCTGAATTATCGCCATTGACATCGTTATCGCAATAAATATCAGAAATATCATGATATATTTTTAAGCCCATATCGCCCATCCCTACTATGTATATATCTATGATTGAAACAGCTGCTTTTGTTGCTTTTAATTCAATTTAGATACCGTTTCCAGTTTAAAGTCACCCCATATAAATATATAGCATTATATTCCTATTTTATATACTTTTCTCCCTTGGTGCCCACTTATAAACATTTAAGTATAATATAACAAACTATATTTCTAACACTTGCATTGTGCCTTCAAGACTTCTATGTAAATTTACATGTCAAATAAGATACAGAGTCTAGCTGCCTTTTTTCTCACGACTGTTTGGTTGTCAGACTTCCCTCTGGGTCCTATATGCATTTAATCATCTCTTTGTAAATCTGCATTAGAAAATCACCCAAAAAAGTCTCTGTTCTAAAATGTGTCACAAAAATAACCAAGAACCTTGTTAAAAATAAATATCAGTCGCTAGTTTCTAACATTTGGATGCCACAAAAAATGTGCAGAGCGGCAGGTGCTACACGCATCCACGAATAGTACAAGATTTAAAGGATGTTACCACATTTTATTTTTATTTGAGCTGTTTCTCATAGGCATTAGCTGAATGAACATCAGACATGTTCACACAACATGCAATGAGAAAATGTATGATGTAAGATGAAGACCTACTTTTACTGGTATAATATGACACTGAATGCCCAAGGCAACACTTGAACTTCAGTAAGACCAACAGAGAATGAATGCTTTGCTTCAAGCAACTTAATATAAGCAATAATCTGACTCTACGGGAAATATAACACCGCTACCATTATGATTAATGGTGACTCTCAGTAGGAGGAAAAACATTGCATCAACATTTAAGGAGGGTGAGAATGAGACAGACAGAAAGTGTGTACAGTGTGTGTGGGCGCAGCACTGACGGCAGTGATCTAGCTCTCACCAGTTGTCTCTGTTTGGGTGGCAGCGCTGGCGGAGGGAGGGTCTCGTCGCTGCTGCTGAAAGAGTCACTGAGACCGTACACTTCCTGAAAACGCTTCCTATTGCGCTGCTCGTAAATGCTTTCGCTCTGAGGCGTCTGGTAGAAAACGGAAGGCAGCGGCTCAGAATAGTCCTCCATAAACTGCATGTACTTCAGAACTGTGGGTAAACAGGGCAAAAAGTAAATAGGTTAAATCAAGACACAGGCAGACAGGTGGTGAACACTAGCACATAAGAGGCTCGGAGACTGTGAGATGGTGTGAATTTAGCATTTTATTTTGTTTATTTATGAAATTAAGCAGAATTTTGTGTGCAAATGAATACTCAATATATCAATATTCTGCTAACTAGAATGAATCTGTATGAAACAGCTGGCATACAAATGTATTAGTATAACATTTCTAGAAATTGTTATTTGTAAAATCTACAATAATTTTATAATAATTATTAATTAATGAATTACATTTGATATAATAAATGTACAATTAATTAAAAATAATAAAAAATATATTCAAATAAACCATTATGTACATATATTATAGTATTATAAACTTAAAGTACCTATTTATCTACATCTATATTTATGTTTATTGAATATGTATTTATTTTTTAAATCTGCATGCATAGAGACAAAAGCATCTTTGCCTATATTTTTTAATTCATCCCATCCCACAAATTGAACATGTCTGCAATGCTCTGTAATTCTGAGTTAATAAAATTTAAAAGAGAAAAACAGTTCAGCATCCTCTGTGTGGCCTTTCCTAAACTCTTCTATCAAGCCACACAGCTCATGTGCAAATTACGACATGATTCAATCGTCCCTCCCTCCAAACAAGAGTCTTTCAGCAAGAGCTAATTTCCTGCCGGCTTGGGTGAGGCCTTGAACTGTATTCAGTCAGAGATTTCTCCAACAAAGGCATTATTCCATCTGACCTCACACTGAAGCTGACATTCAGCCCTACCCAACAGTGAGGGGCTTTGCAGAGAAAAACTGGCTTTTCCATACTGCGTCATACCTCGCACACATTACACAAGGAATTAAGTGAACTGTGCAAACAGCTTAGTCTGAAGACAAAAGCCAGGGCTTGAACTACTTGTTTGGTCATAGTACTCGAAGATTAAATGCTGCTTATAAAGTTGGCATGAAATTAAAATTCACCCTATTTTCTAAATGCACGTTATTGATCTTATTGTGAATGATTCATCGGTGCATAGTTAAATTATTTTTTTTTTACCTAATAATTTTTATGAAATGAATTCTCTCTGGTAGTGAGTGCCAGACCTCTACAATAATTTCGTTAAACCCCTTTAACTGCAAGTTTGCATTCAGATTCACCTCCATTCAATCAACAACCGATGGAAGTCCCCGCCCTACATTTCTTTCTTTTTTAATAATCCATTTACTTTGATGTATATCACAATGGACGAAAAGACCTTAAAATTCTTCAGGAATTCAAATATTTAAATACCGGCACCGGCAACTTTTACGTTTTTACTTTTACTATTTGTAGTTTTTTCACTGAGGGTAATTTTCATTTTTTTGATTAACTATTCCTTAAAGGGGTCATATGATGCAATTTAATTTTTTCCTTTCTCTTTGGAGTGTTACAAGCTCTTGGTGCATAAAGAAGATCTGTAAAGTTGCAAAGACTAAAGTCTCAAATCCAAAGAGATATTCTTTATAAAAGTTAAGAGTCAGCCACACCCCCCTAAAACGGCTCGTTCGAACACGCCCCCACATATCTACCTCACTATGTGGGAAGATTTGCATAACACCGCCCAAATGTTCACGCAAAGAAAGAAAGCGTAACTTTTATTCTCGCTGTAGTATTGTTGCCGCCGCCGCCATGTCGTGAAGGTGAGCGAAGCGGAGCGGTGTGACGCTCCGCTACGTTTTCCGCTCTATGGACGTGCGCTCCGCTCAGTCGCTCTAACCGCCCAAGCAAGCGCTCCGTTAATATTCCGCTCACGCTCACCGTAAACCAATTCCCGCTCAGATCCCGCTCCGTTCTGTAAAGAACAAATTTGCGTGCATTATATTAGATTATAAATTACTGCTGCCTATATCTAGCCTACATTCTGTAGGACTACCTATTGTTTCGGGTCAGTTTTTTTTTAAAGAATATTTTAATAGGCCTAAGTGGTGTAGGCTAATATCTTCTGTACTCTGTAGTTCTGTATTTAGGCCTATATACAGCTGTGTGTTAGCTTAGGTCTACAGTTTAACTGAGATTATTTAATAACTACGGAGCTCCGAATATAATTCGAATTAACAATTCGTTTCTACGACGTCAGCAGGTTTTATTATTTTTTTAATTAATTTATTATTATTTATTAAGTTTAAGCAATAATGATTTTAATAAGTAATTACGAAATATAATAATTCGTTCCACGATTTAGGCCTACTAAAACTAGGGAATGAACGAATTAACGAACGAATGAATTCGTGGCAGCTAAGCCTAAACAAGAGAATGAATACTTAATTCGTGGCCATAATTTAGACTAAACGAAAAAAATAATTCTTAATTCGTGGCCATAATGTAGTCCTAGCATAAAAGAGAACTAGCCTATTCTAAATTCGTGGCTGTGATTTTGTCTGCATGTCATGATCGGGGCTCCGTACAACCGAATATAACCTTAGCCTACCTGTTTATTCATTTATTATGGTATGTAACTAGCTCACCTTTTGCTGCACCATGTTTGCATACATCTTCGTGCTTTCTGTAATCAATATGAATCTGTACTAACTTTAACAGTCTCCCCGCACTCCCTCTCAGTTTCTTCTCCCTGCTCATTCTTAACTTTGATTTTTACTTTACATTTATAAGGCTTGCAACTTCGTTGAAACAATATCTGGACTCCATAACTGCTCTACTATTCTCGATCTCTACAGATTCTCGATCTCGAACAAGCAAATCACCAAACGGCATTCTGGGTTGAGCGAGCGGCACTGAGCGTATTGAGCGAGCGGAGCGGAATCTTCAGAAAGGCGCTCTGCGCTCTTAAGGAAATATTACCACTCCGCTCCCCGCTCCACTCATGCTCCGCTCCGCTCACAAGCTCTGGTTCACGCTAAGCCGGGGCTTTCGCTCATGCTAGGCCGCTGTGTTTTTCGTTGTGAAAGCGAAACTACTTTGTTTGGCCTTCCAAAAGAGGACGATATCCGCTTCGTCATGCCTAGAGCTGATCTGTGCTGGTCGCTGAGGAAATACATCAACTTAGTGCTGTGGATCACCGGATCGGCTTTCACCGTTTTCACCGCTCCTTCGTCGGATCCGCCGGGACCGCCGTTCTCGATCCCGCCGCCTCAGCTCACGGCTCAGCTCAACAGTATGGTGAGGGGCGTAACATTTCCGTCTCACGCTTGAGGTATTCGGCCAATCACAACGCATTGGATATCTGGCCAATCAGAGCACACCTCGCTTTTCAGACCGATTAGTTTTGTAAAAATCGACGCGTTTCAGAAGGCGGGGCATACAGGAGAAACAATAATGTACAGTATGTGGAAAATAATGTGTTTTTTAAACTTTAAACCGCATAAACACATTTCATTACACCAAATACACAAAATAATGTTCTTTTTAGCAGCATCATATGACCCCTTTAACAACAATAACAACCAAAAATCTTTTTTTTTTTCCAGCACCTTCAGAAAACCATTTTTGCACCTCAGAAAGTCAAATTAAATACATTATGTGCCAATTTACTTTTCACTTATTTTAAAAGAGGTTCACAATTCATGCAACCTTTTTACTACAATTTAGGACAAGTCTGCTAATTTTGCCTTTTTTGCCTTTACTGGGACAGGACAATATAGAGATTTGACAGGAAGCAAAATGGAAGAGAGGCGGGCACTTGATTGGGAACGATAACTATAAAGTTTTACTAATCATTCTAATTCTATGAAGTAAGGAATTCTATAGGGAAGTGTACACCCATAACTGTAAGAAACGTTGGAATCACTTTTAGAATGAATTTTTCCAGATGATGAACAATAAACCATTATTTATTCTACTTAAAGAGCTTGAACATTTAAAACGACAGACGACAAAACTGCAGCGCAGTTGCTTATAATAAACTGCTTATAATTAACAGCAACATTATCATGCATTGATGTGGACACTAATATAGTTATAGTTCTTTTTATGAATGGATCTTAACTCGATTTTCCCAAAGTGCAACAGCACTACATTGTCAGATCTAACTAGACAAGCGTTTCTTACTCTGACTTGATATCCTACAAACAACATTTGAATTCCTCATACTCACTATGGCGACTCTTCTTCTCCGGCAGGGGTGGAGGGCTCTGAGGGATGTGTGCGTTCTCAGCAGGGCCAAAGTGTCCCATAAATTCTCCAGGGTTCGAGGGTGGCATTGAAGGAAATAGGGGGAATGGTGGGGTCTGCATGTCCTCATCAGGAACATTGTCATATTGAGAGTACAATCGTTCCACCTGAGGCGGAGGGGGCCGCCGTTCCTTCTTCGGGAGAACGGGCGGTATCGATTGAAGCTGAACAGGGAAGGAAGATGATTCATTGTGAGACTCGGGGAGCGGGCTCAGACAACCCCCTGTGTGTGCGGGAGGGATCTGGTCGATGCTAGACAGGTCCTGATGCAGGAAGTCATAGTCTGGGTCGTAGCTCTCCGCTGTGTCTGAGTAAAGCAGGGGACAGAACAGAGAAGAAGATAAAACTCATCGATATATTTAAACCACTCTTGGGCCGTGTAGTCTGACAAGCTATCATTTCAAAGTAGCTTTCTCAACAATGATTTAAACACTCACCTAGAGTCTCACAGCTGGTGTTACGAGAGCACTGTCCGCTGTCCTGCTCCAAAGATGACAGCTGTTCATCTGACTTGCTCAATATGCCGATGCTGCCACATGGGGACAGTCGTGGTGATTCTCCTCCATAGGAGTGACTGCCTCCTGAAAAACGCCTCTGTAAGGCATCTGCCTCATATTCCTTCAGATGAAATTAAGAACAGTTAACCTCAAGAAACAATCAAACATTAAATATTTATTCACCTTAATGTTTCAAACCGGTATGACTTTTTCTCTTCTGTATCAAAACATTTTTAAAATAATGTCTTTGGACACCATGACTTTCATTTCATGGCCAAAAACAGTTAAACTGTCCTTCCAAATTCTTTTTGTGCTCCACAGATTATATTAGGATCAGTAAATAATGGCAGAATTTAAATTTTTTGGTGAACTATCTTTTCAAAAGTCACCCTAGCTACTATATATACACCTTATATGTAAGGGATAATCAACGGCTAGCCGTGCATTAAAGGATTTTAAATGCACGACGTGGAGGCAAAGAACAGGGTGGTTGGTGGTTGCCTCCGCGAAGTGCATTTAAAATCCTTTAATGCACGGCCAGCCGTTGATTATCTCGCTTATTCCATGGTCATTTGCCAAGTTATAGACAAGTTAAAACTAGTATTTCTCTTTGCAGCACAATATTTGACAGAATGGGTAAAAATGACAGTTATTTTCATCAGTTACGGCACGTTAGCTCTAGCATTCTGCCCACTTCAAATCAGACACAGAGATGAAATGTGCACTACCAAAAGTGCGGTAAGATCACATTTATTTGAATGAATTAATAATGAAATAAATACATGAATGAGCATGTATTTCAATTAATTATCGATCGAGAGAGAGAGAGAGAGATGACAGTTGTGTGTACCTGCGTGCTGCGTCTGCGTGTCTCTCTCTACAAACAATTTCTTCAAAAACAGCCATTTTACCATCGTTGCTGAAGAATATAATGTAGCGATCTAGTATCTAGGCTATTTTATTAATAAAAATCACGGGGAAGCGTTGACAAGTTTATGTGTGTGTGCAGCGCAATCTGCGATCTCTCTCTCTCCCTCTGTGTGTGTGTGTGTGTGTGTGTGTATATATATATATATATATATAGTTTGGGACTGAATGTTGGTTGGTAATTACCGATAAACCATTGACTGATTTTATTATTATTTATTTTTCATCTATATAATAAATGTCAGTGAAGTGAAATGTTGTGAAATTATTTTGGACCAAAATTACTTTAATTTTATGGACAACAACAGACATTAGGATGAGTAAATTATTTATTTTTGGATGAACTATCTGTGGCTATCTTTAAACGTCATCTTAGCTACTGAAAACTGAGTAACCTTTCATTGCGCTAAACTTCAGATTAATTCTGAGAGGTCACTAAAGATCAGTTTTAGGGGAAGAAGTCTTGTGAGCCACAACACTGTCATTTAAGGCCCACATTAGGCTCTTAAGTTGCAGATTGGAGCATCAAGGGAACACCAAAATCTCACCTGTCGACAGATACCAATAGGAAGACTTGATCCACTTGTGGTACGACTCATTGGCGCAACCACAGCAATTCTTGTGGGAGACGGTGCCGACTGACGCTTCTTTGGGGGAAGAGCCGGTGGACTGCAAAGGGAGAGTTTGTTTAGCCAATACTAGCATCCAAACAGATGTCATACTGACAGGTAATAGTTTCATACAAGACGTCAATTAAGAAACCTACAGACAAATTCTGTGTTAAGAAAATCTGCAACCAATCCTAAGCGACCAGGAGCATTTTTGCAAAGCGAAAGTGGAATCCAGCTCTGGAACCACAAACCACAACTTCATAAATCAGTCATTCAGTCAGTCTGATTAGTTGCTCTGTCGCCCCAAAACAGCTGCTAACAGTGAAGTCATACAGCAGAGCGACTAGCAGAAGAACTGACTCATAGTGAATGTAGAGTATGTCTGGCTGACATTTACAAATACCGATTAACTTTTGAATAACCAGTCTCAGCATACCAGGTCAGACAGATTTTCTTGAAGTCTTAAATTGTTTCACCAGACGAGAGGCTCGAATGGAGATTAAATAAGGTTCTCGCTATGAAGGGAAACTATAAAACACCTGGAGGATCTGTCGTAGTCCTAACACGGTCATTTATTTTAACAGTCTGACTGATGTAAACTCATTTTCGGCTGTGAGCTGAGAGACTGTTGGCCATGAAAATATCTACATGCCATTTCAGTGAGCTAACTGTGCTTCACAGCGCATTTGGGTTATTAGGGCTGCTACAACGACTAAAAACAGACAACAACAAATTTCATTATTAATCAGGGCATTGCACTGCGCATGCAGAACTTTCATCAGAGATGTCATTTGCAGTTTTAAAAACTTGTTTTAATTAAAAACAGTGAGCTGCAGTGGAAAAAAAAGTGTTTGATGTAAGTTGTCTGAAGCATGTGAGCATGCTGAATGCATATAGTTTCATATGGTCAGGTTGTCACATCAAGCACTTTGACAGAGTGAGCAATGTGAACAATGTGGTTGAGAGGTTTTTCACCACAACACAACTTAGACTTAACGGTATATAAAATAAATATGCAAAATATTAAAATAAAAATTAACAAACTAAAATAATGGCATGTTGCATTCAAAGATTTCTCAATGAAGTAAACACTGCTTCCAAATTTTCCATTAATTAATCAAGTAAACAATCAATAGCAGTGAGTAGTCTTTTTTTTTTTTGCTGTCTTATTAATATTATAAACAATGAAATTAATGGAAAAAGCAGTGTGAATATTCTGCTTTCACGTTCCAAATCAGGAAAAAGGTCACAGGGGTTTGGAATTATTTCTAAACATTTGGGATAATGGAAGTACACAAGTAAGCAAAATATATAACACTGTTCTAGTGATTTTTGGACATTTTAAAGGGGTCATATGATGCGATTTCAAGTTTTCCTTTCTCTTTGGAGTGTTACAAGCTGATTGTACATAGATAAGATCCCTGAAGTTGCAAAGATATGACCCCTTTAATAAAAAAATCTTACATATTGTGCCTTTAAGAATCAAGCTGGCTTTAAATTATAGTCCAAAAAAAAACTTGCTGCTGAGTGAACAAACCAGGTGGTAGGCTAAACTTGGCATCAAAATAATCTCAAACAAAAAGCTTATATTTCGGAGACAGACTTGTTGGAAGGCTGGAAACACGCCAAAAACATGGAAATGCCAGCAAATAATTCAGAGTACAAAGCAGCGGCACAACCTAATCCTCTCCTGTCTAGACTTGGTATCAGAATATCCCTTCTTGCTGTTTCTTTCTCTCTTTCTTGTCTCTTTCAGTCTTCAGTGGAGAGCTGACACTGTTAAGTTCATTTCTCAGAAAACAGCCCATATGTCAATGACTCTCTGCTAGAGGAAGCCGAGCCTTCGCTGCTGCACCCTACAAAGACCTGATTCCTCAAGAATACCACTATTTATATCTCTCTTTCACACCTTTTCTTTTAGGCTTCCCACAAACCGAGATGGGTCTGTGCAATCATCTGTAGCCAAGACCAGCACTTAAAACATACACGACATGCTGCTGCAAACCACAACCTCTAACTGTTTACTGCATGTTATCCAGATAAGATAGCACGATAAGATAACACAGCATATTTCATACTTCCGCTTGTAAACTGCTCACCTTGTGAGGTACCACATTACACTCACTTGTTTCATAAAGTCTTACATAAAGCTTGTAAGACTAAATAAACAGCAATTTCCAGGAGCACAGTACACAACAGGGCCTGACATTTTCTGTAGTTTTTTTCCTTTTTCTATAGGGTTTGCCATTTTTAAACCCCAAAATGTAGGATATATCTTAAAGCAGTTTAATACCCTGATGTGTAATTTTGCACTATTCTAGTGTTAAATTTTGAATAGAAAGTAATGTAAATAGAAAAACTAAAATAAAATAGAAAATTAAAATAAAACATTATTTCAATAATAATAAAATATTATTTATTAAAAAAAAAAAATGGGTCTCTGTGACCTCAGCGGGGGTAGGAGTATCATTCAAGACGGTTTCTTTCGACTCAACGACAGGGGGCTCTGGAACACTGCCATAATAAAGTGGTAGAAATTAATGACATAGCATTTCAGCACTGACACACAACATTGTATTATAGGTCGACAGCCCAGCTGATGACTTGTACTGAATTTGAAGGTGGCTTTCAACATCACCCACCTCAATTTTAAAGAATTTCTCAAGACATAATGTTTTTCAAAAAGGTTTCCATTTACCGTTGTGGACTGGCAACAGGAGGCAAGATTTTGACAGGTGTCGTAGGGGAGGGGTGCTCCTGTTTCTCAATGGCGACTTTAACCAGCTCCTACAGGAAACCACAGGCAAAGTCAGCTTTACACACAACACTATCAACTAAGAACAAAACCCATGGCTAAATACAGCTGGAATATGGGCAGAAAATAGCTGTCAGACATAAGACGAGTCATGACAGAGTTCTATAGACTATTAATACCTTCACACCATCCAGCACTGCTTTGATCACAGTGGTGACAGTTGTAACTGTTTCTTTATCTTCCAAATTCAACCCCTCCAGCATCACTTGGTCAGACCAGCGAATGAGGTTTGCAAGACTTTGATAGAGTCGACTGAGACAGGAGGCCACTTTTGAACTGGTGACAGATGGACGGGGGAATAAAATATTTATACAGTTCAGGCAGAAAACATGTTGTTTGAAAGCTGAACAATAAACTAATTCTCTCAAGAAGCTCAAAAACATTTTTACCTGCTCAGTATCTTGCCATCAAGATGTACCAAGCCCATGATGGCCTCCAGAACTTTGCTAGCAGAACCAGGAAGCATTTCCAAGACCTTCTTGTCCACCGCCATCTTGTCGATAATCGTTTTGAAGTACCGCAAAGCGCTGACCACTTCTTTCTCATGCTCCTCTAATCGACTCAGACTCTAAATGTGGTAAAAAGAGAGTCACCAAAACCAATGTCTTCAATACGTCCAAAGATAACAACGTGCTTATTTGCCTTCAGATCGCCCATGTTTTCAGACCAAAAGCTTTGTTTATAAAGCTAACATCATCTACTACCTTGGTCACGGTCTTCTCTGGGGACTTCACGGGCTGTTCTGGTGGTGGTTTGGACTTTTTGTTTGATGGTGTCCGCTTGATTTTGGGAGAGTGGAATTTGTCCTTTAGTTTCATTGTAAATGATGTCAAGTGAGAACGCTGGGATTCTGAAGGAAGACAAAAACACACATTATTCTGAGGTGAATTAGCTCAAAAAAAGTTAATTTGCTCATTTCTATATATACATATACATATATATATATTTTTTTTTACACAGTTACCAGAATATAAAGTGACTCATTTTGTGATGCACAGCTCTGTGATAGACAGTTAATAATTATAATATTTATTGACAGTTTGAATTAGCTTTTATTTTTTTTATTTTATTTTAAGTTTTAGTAATTATTTTTTAATGTGGTTTGTCATTTTCATTAGTTTTTTATTTTTATTTTTAACTTTTTTTTTTTTTGGTTTTAGTAATTGTATTACTTCAACTTAAAGTTATTTTATTTCAGTTAAGCAACATTTGTAATTTTTGTTATTTCATATTTACACTGTATTTCTGTTTTATTTCAATTGACAAAAACTTTTAATGATTACATTTTTAAAATCATTTTATTGTTAGCTTAACATAACTACACTATAGGGGTGTCGAAATTAATCGTTTCTTCGATGCATCGCGACGATTCGGTATCGGTTCAGTAATAGACCATAACCGATTATAACGTACTGATGCTTTTCTGACGTCATTTGTCGCATACGTGCTTTGTTGCGGTAGCATACATTAGGCGCTTTCGGCTTGAAGCGCCGCTGTGCAGAATGATCAGTGTATGACATCAAGTACCGCGAGAGCGATAAGAGAGCCGACGGATCCTCACTTTCGAATCGCTCTCGCGGTTGATGTCATACACTGATCACTCTGCGCAGCGCCGCTTCAAATCGAACACGCCTAATGGCGGAGGGAGGCGAGACGCGAGTGTGAGTAATTAAAAATGTCCCAACTACTTTAAATGCCAACATCTGG